GCGTGCAGCTGACTCAGGTTTGATCCCTGGCACCACATTTGAGCACTATAAGTAGTAAACCCAAGTACAGAGCCAGGAGGCAGCCCTGAGCACAGGTAAGTGTGCACCCGCCACCAAAAAAAAAAAAAAAAAAGGAATAACTATTTAATACAAACATCAAAGGGATTTTATGAAATGTTTTCTAGAAATAACTAACAGAAAAATAAATTTATTTTCTTTTTCTCTTCTCTGAAGTGAAGGTAGCCTAGGTCTGGAAGAACAGTGCAGTGGCTTAGAGCCACTGCCTTGCAAGACTGAAATTCCCCTCATTTCACATTGCACCAGTCTCGGCTTTGCTGCCTGCAGTCCCCAGCACCACAAGCAGTTTCTGACCACACTCCTAAAATGGTTGTGATGTCCCCACCACACACACCTGCACCATCTGCATTGCAATTAAAAAGACACATGAGGATGATATGAGCACCACAACCATAACCTCAGTTGGGATTAGGGGCCCCAGCTGTATGCGTACAAGCACCACCACTAAAGGAGTCCAAGTCTTGGGGAGCACTGTATTCGAACATGCAGGCGCCCCAAGGAACAACCCCCAGCAAGCTCTGCAGCTAAACTGTGTGAGCACTGCAGCCAGGGCTACACAAAACTCCCAGTGTTCGCAAGAACAATCAACGACAGTGAAGGGAAGGGGGTGGGGTGGGGGGATAAAATATAAAGGTAGCATCTTCTCCTTCCCCATATCCTGGCTAATTAATTCCAATGTCCTCTAACTCTAGAGGAGTAGTAGAAAGGGGACTAAACCTTCCAGTATATAACGGGATCCTGAAAACTCAGTGAATGTGAAAGAAAACAAAGGAATCAAGAACTGTTCGGGGGGTGGGGGTTGCGGGAAGGACACTGGGAACATTGGTGGTGGAGAATGGGCACTGGTGGAGGGATGGGTACTTGAACATTGATTGAAATGTAGTCACAAAAATTTGTAAGTCTGTAACTGTCTCTCATGATGATTCATTAAAATGAAAAAAAAAGAGAGGAGAAGAACTGTTCATAATTTCAGAGGTGGAACTGGGTGGTTTTTAGCTGTTTTACTCATGTGGACCACCTGTCTGTGCATGGGCCATTGGAAATCACTCTGTAAGAGGAGCCAGAGAGGTAGTAAAGGGCCGTGGCACTCACCTGGCCCACAGCCGACCCTGGTTCACTCCCCAGCACCCCCAGCACCCTGAGCACTGCCAGAATGATCCCTGGGCCATATGGCTTGCATGCCTTTGGAGGCATGAGACCTGAGCTCAAACCCTTGCACTGTAAAAAGGAAAACAAGAAAACGGCTGCAGAGAAATCAGACTCTATTTTTGATTTAGGGTTTTGGGTGGTTTGGTTTTGTTTTGTATTTTGTGTTATTTTTGTCTTTTTGGTTTGTTCTTGGTTTTGGTTTTTTGTTTGTTTGCTTGTTTTGTTTTGTTTTATGGTGTTCTGGGCAACGACAGACCAGCAGTACTTGGCCAACAGTCCTGAAACTTCAGTGTTTCAGAATTGCCCAGCGATTTTGTGTTGCTTGGGCCCAGAGGTGACAGGGACATCAGGGTTGTCTCAAAGATGGGAGTGTTTTCAGGGCTATACTTCATGGTGTGTGGGAAGGGGAAGGGGGATTGTGTGCCAGGGATGGATTGTATGCAGAGATGTGTCCCTGACCCTGAGCTATCTCCTAGCCCTAGAATTTCTGTTAATGTCAGAAGTCTGAAGATTTGCTACATATTCAGCAACCTAATGCTACACCCCAAACTAGAGAACTCACTTTTTTGTTTGTTTTTTTTTTTTTTAGGGGCCATACTGGTGTTCAGGGCTTAACTCCTGGTTCTGTGCTCAGGGATCGCTCCTGGAGGGCTAGAGGGATCATGTGCAGTGCTGGGGATAGATCCCAGGTCAGTCATGTGCCAGGGAAATGTCCTACCTGCTATACTATTACTCCATCCGAAGAAAACTCACTTTTTAGGCAGATATATTATAAGAAGCCTGAATGGCTTCATTTCTTAAATACTCTTTAAAAGGTGAGATAATATATAAGTATAAATTATGAAAATAGCAATGGAATAAAATGATAAAGTTTCAATTTAATTTGAAATAATTATGATTTACATATTAGAGAGTATTAGTAGTTCAGCAAAATTGGGTATGTGCAGGGATCCTCATTCACTGCTAATGGGAATGCTGACTTGTCCAGCATTTTTTTTTAATGTGGACACTCCTCAAAAGAATTAAGCTTCCATATGATCCAGCAATTCCACCTCTTGGCATCTACAGCTAGGACCCAAAAAATATTAAGAGGGGTCTGGAGCAATAGCACAGCGGGTAGGGCATTTGCCTTGCACGCGGCCAACCCGGGTTCGATTCCCAGCATCGCATATGGTCCCCCGAGCACTGCCAGGATTAATTCCTGAGAGTGTGAGCCAGAACTAACCCCTGTGCATTGCCATGTGTGACCCAAAAAGCAAAATATATATATATATATATATATATATTAAGAAAAGGCATCTGCACTCTATGTGTTCATTGCTGCCTTAGTCACAATAGGTAAAACTGGGAAATAACCCATGTGCCCAAGTACAAATGACCGGATAACTATGGCATAGGGACCAGAGAGACAGTACAGCAGGTAAGGTGCTTGCCTTGAAAGCAGCTAACCTAGGTTCAATCCCCAACATCTCATATGGGCCGCTGACCACAGCCAAAAGTGATTTCTGAGTGCAGAGCCAGGAGTAACACCTGAGCATCCTTGTGGTCTAAAAAACAAAAAGAAAAAGAAAAAAGAAATACCAGTTTTATGGTATAGACACAAAACGAAATACCACTCAGCTATAAGAAAAGATGAAATCGTACAATTTGTTGCTACATGAATGGACCTGGAAAGTATCACACTGGGTATTGTTAGAAGGAGGGTAACAGACAGAATAATCTCTCTCATATGTGGGATGTAAAGAAAGAAGGAAAATAATAAGTGCTCAAAGGCAATAGAAGATGAGAGCTGGTCTGCAGTAGGAAGCTTACCACAGCAGGAAATAGAGGTGGAGTCAGAAATAAGATGCAGGGGACACTGGGACTATGGTGGAGGATCTGATGCTGGCATGATTTATGGGGGAGGAGGGAACCTACCTTTAACAGTATTGTAAGCCATGCTGCCTTTTCCTAGGTGGATGTATGCATTATGCTAAGCATTGGGAATACCAGTTTTAAAGCCAACTGTATTCCTTTAAAGATTCCAAATTTCCAGCCCAAAGGTATCTATCATGTGATTCCAGAGTGGAGTGCAGCCAGTCTCAAGTTTTTATGACCCGATTTTCAAAGATAGAGAATTAAAGGATTCAAATGATTACCTAGTTTCGTAAAATGTAGCACCAGTAAAACCAGTTATTTTTAGAATTTTATTGAATCAGATTTTGAAGAGCTGTGAAGGTATTTGGAAGAAATACAATTACAGTTTCAGGACAGGATGCATGGATTTTAATGCATGTGAGTCATGCTTTTATTTCTGTGCCTGCCTTTGAAATGCAAACCTTGGGATGTCTAAATTGCAAACATCTGCTTTTTAGTGAGGCTCATTTTGAAGAAAAACTTATTGATCTGTGTTACCCAAAAGATACAGTATCCCTATAATTCATAAGATACATGAGTGAATCCCTGGGAGGGAGGGGCTGGGGTGGGGGTGGGGGGGATTTAACTATTGGGTTAAATATCCTCTTAGCAGTTTTTTCCAACCTTTTTCCAACCGTGGCTCCCTTCTGTACTTGATCCCTTCCTTTGTCTGCTCTGCCCTCCAGATTGGTCCTTAGTCACGCACTATGCCCGCCCCCACATTTATACAGTAGTCACCTATGGTCCCCCTGGCTATCCTGAGGACCCACAAGCAAGGCAATATGCCCCAGTTGGGACACACTGATCTGAATAAGGTTGTTTTCATGAAACTAGTGGGAGCAAAGCTGAGTCAACATCAGTGAAAGAAACTGAAATGCACCCTAAGAGCATATACCCCAGGGAGACCCAACATGGCTTCTGTTTCACTTTGCCTCCTGCTTTTGTTTTCATTCAGCTAATTACCGGTTCAGATATAAAGTGGCAACTTAACACCTGTAAAAATACAATTCAGAATAACAAATCTACACTGCTTGTCAAAAATTGGAGGATTTTGCAATTACCATGACTGGCCAAAGTACATAATCAGCATGATAAAGACAGTGTTTCACACCAGATCATATTCTATATATTGGTGGTGGTGAAATTAGTTTACCAAATCACTTATAATATTTTTTGGTGAAATACAATAGGAAATAAAGGGATAATGAAACGCTTGTGAAACTTTATATACATATATGTGTGTATGTGTGTATGTGTCCCTGTGTGTGTGTGTGTGTACATACACAGAGAGAGAGAGAGAGAGAGAGAGAGAGAGAGAGAGAGAGAGAGAGAGAGAAACTGTTGTGATAGAAAATACAGTTCTTAGTTTAGTTACACTTTAAACTTTTTGAAAGCTGATACTATTAGTGTTCTATCCAACAACATTCTTTCAGCTTGAATGACATAATAAACTGTTATTCTGGTGTTCTGAAATTGCACATTATGAATTTGGGTTTCTCAAAGGTGGAATTAATTTTTAAATAAAATCACAGGTGAAAAACGGTACTTCACATCACTGAGAGGATCCCTTTGGGACTGAAACGATAGTACAGAGGGCAAGGAGTTGTCCTTGCATGAGGCCAATCCGCCTTCAATCTCTGGCACCATATGGTCCCCTGAGCCTCACCATGAGTGATACCTGAGCTCAGAACCAAAAGTAAGACCTGAGCACCACCAGGTGTTGCCAAAAAAAAAAAAATTAAAAAGCCCTTCGATGAAGAAGCATTGAAAGTGAAACGGAGATCATCACAACATCAGAAAAACTAGACAGATCACTAAAGTTATGTACATAATTCTCTCAGAAAATTTTCTCAGAACAAGGTGCCTCTAAGAATATCTTGATGGTGCTCACTTCAGATATAATAAAATTGGAGTGAGGCAAAGATTAGCATAGTCTCTGCACAAAGATGACATGCAAATTTGTGAAGCATTTTATATATTTTTTAAAAAAAGAATATCCTCATGAAAAACTTCCTGAATTACTCTGACTTCCTTTGCAGAGGTCACCGTATTGGAGAAGGTGGGGGGAAAACTGTGCCCCAAAACATCAAGTACCTAGAAATCAAAGTGAAAGAAACACATTGAAAACTCTATGGTACTATTAGAAGAGGACACAAAGAAATGGAAAAATATTCCATATTCATATCTTAGGAGAATTAACATTGTTAAAATCACCATACTACCCAAAGCATTATACATATTCAATAAAAGCATATCAGAGTTCCAATAGCATTCTTTAAGAACATTGAACAAATATTACCAAAGTTTGTATGAAACCATCAAACTCCCCCCAGGAGCCAAAGCAATTCTGAGGAAAAAAGATGAGACACATTGCATCCCCTGACCTTAAACTATATGAACTATATGTCAAGTGAGAGTAATCGAAACATTGTAGCAGTGGAGTAAAATGGACTCTTGGGACAGTAAAATTGAAATGAGAGCTCAGAATATGAACAGTTAATTTATGACAAAGATGTATGAACAGTTAGTTAATTTATGACAAAGAAGCTAGAATCATTAAGTGGAACAAGGGAAGTCTCTTTAAAAACTGGCACTGGGAATTTGGTTAGCCAAACCAAAAAAAAAAAAAAAATGAAATTGAATCACTACCTCACACCATACACAAAATTAATTCTAAATGGATCAAAGACCTTAATTTTAGAACCAAACACATAAAATACATCAAGGAAAATGTTGATAGAATTCTCCACGATAATGACTTCAATGAGTCAATTCCATTGGCAGTGACAGGGAAACCAAAAATAAATGGGACTACATTAAACTAAAAAGTTTCTGCACTATGAAAGAAATGACAGCTAAAATAGAAAGATGTCCTGCTGAATGGAAGAGAATATTGTAAACATCTAACAAAAAGCTAATGTACGAAATATATAAAGCATTCACCAAACCTGAAAAAAAAATTTTTTTAAGAGAGAGGCAGTAAACAGATACTTCCTCAAAGAAGACATACAGATGTACAAAGTGTTCATCCTCACTAATATCAGGGAAGCGCAAGTCAAAACAGCAATGCGATATCACTTCACACCTATACCAAAAATTCTAAAAGAAAATAGTGCGGGGGTGGGGGGGGCGGTGCAGACTGGGTCAGCTACTAATTGAGTATTAGTTTGGAAACTTCTCCAAAAGTTAAAAATAGAACTTCCAGGGCTGGAGCGATAGCACAGTGGGTAGGGCGTTTGCCTTGCACGCGGCCTGACCCGGGTTCGATTCCCAGCAACCCATATGGTCCCCCGAGCATGGCCAGGAGTAATTCCTGAGTGCATGAACCAGGAGTAACCCCTGTGCATCACTGTGTGTGACCCAAAAAGCAAAAAAAAAAAAAGAACTTCCATATTGCCCAGTGATTTCACTCCTTGCCATCTACCTAAAAAATACAAAAGCATTAGTTTTAAAAGATAGAGACACATATCTGTTCATTAGAGCACTATTGACAATAAACAAAATCTGGAAACAGCAGGGAGATGGCTCTGAGGGCTAGAGAACATGTGGAAAATCCAGTTTGCACCCCTAGGAACCACCAGCATGCACAAAACAAAAATTTGAAACAACCCAAATATCCAGTACTAGATGATTGTATAAAGAAATTGTGGTGTCTGTGTGTATACATATATATATATTAGAATAAAGCCCAGCTATAAGAAAAGATAAAATCTTGCTTTTAGCTACAACTTGAATGAAACTGTTACTATGAAAGTGGATTTTCCTGTGCTAGTGGGTTCTTGAGAATTGTACGAATGATTTGCACACAAAACTCAGAAGGTGAGAAATTAGAGTTTATTGTATAGTTGAAGTAGATGGGTCCAGGTCCCTCCACGGTGCCCAGGCCTCTCCTTTAACTCATGTACAATATCCTTCGCCCTGTTCCTATACAACTTTTAAATCCTGTCCCTTGCTGTCTGCCCACCTCCAATGTATGATGGCCTAGCCTTGTCCCTACACCATTCCCTGTCCAATGTACACTTTCCTAGTCTGAAATCTTGTCATTGGGCCTCTCTTGGAGGTTCCCTGTTGTCCTGTCCTGTCTTTCTCTATCTGTCTGAGCATAAGACCCTTGCCTGATTCTGCCATCTTTCTGGGCCTGTGAGCATTACATCATCTGCCATCCTGCCTGTGCCGCTCCTACCTGATCCTCAGTCTACCTGGTCATAGGTGAGATTGCAAAGGGAGAGACAGAGAGTGGGCAAAAGAGAAAGGGGTGTATCTGGCAGTGGGGGACGGTGGGGGGGGGGGCTCTTCCTTTCATCTGCTGCTGTCCCCCACCCCCAGTCATCCCATTACCTTTTTGATTGGAGACCTTAACAGGCAAGATTTAAACCGACCTACTAAACTAACTAGTTCACCTGACTCTTTCTTTCGTCCATTCCCACTGTAACAAAACTAGAGGGATTCATGTTAAACAAAAGTCAGAAAAGGACAAATGCCCGATGATCTCACTCATTTGTGGTCTATAGAGATACAAGACAAGGGGATGGACAATGATGAACAAAAATAAATCCTGAACCCTTGACAACAGCGCTGAGTTTTCCAAGGTTTGAGGTGGAGAGTGGAGAATGCTGTAGGAACAGATGGGGCCAAAATATTACCGTTAAAAAAAGTAAACCTTTTTTGTTTTAATGGCATCAATTTGGGGGGTTACTTATTATTGTGAAAGAAACTCTTTGGTTAAATTAATTGTGTTTCCAGGGCTGAAGCGATAGCACAGCGGGTAGGGCGTTTGCCTTGCACGCTGCCGACCTGGGTTCGATTCCCAGCATTCCATATGGTCCCCTGAGCACCGCCAGGAGTAACTCCTGAGTGCAGAACCAGGAGTAACCCCTGAGCATCGCCGGGCGTGACCCAAAAATCAAAAAAAAAAAAAGAATTAATTGTGTTTCCTCATGATTGCTATGGATAAAAATACATAGAGTTAAACATTAAGGTGTATCTGATCACAGCACTTACTGTTGATAAAGAAAGCATAGACCTCTTTCTGCACAAGCCAAGGTCCAAAGAAGCAGTCTGATTGACCAAATCTGCAGCTGATATCTGCACTAACCTAGTAAGTGACCAAAGTCATATCAGTGGTCTTTGTCTTTATAAGGTCTTTACTAGTTTCGTTAGTATGGGGCCAGGCATCTAGCAATCAGATATATATCAGCAGATATTTGTAGACTGAATGCACTAACCCATGTGATAATAAATTTCAACACTTCATATTCAAGCTGTTTTCCTGAATGCAGAGCTCATTTTGCTGTGATTTTTTTTTTTTACTTTTCCTTGAGTTCGTGGAATTTTCCTGAACCCCCTCTTGACAAATGTTACCAGTAGTTAGAATTGATAAACCAATGTATCAGCTGTTCTAAATTAAAAATTAAGATTATCAATTTGCTTAGTTTTTGCTGCACCTGTCCTACTGGTAGTGCCATTTCTCTCTCTGCTCTTCCCTGTTAGCCAGAAAGAACTTCCAGCTCACAAGAACAGATTGCCATCCCTCCCACAAATAAGCCCGGCCTTACACATTTGGCAGCGTTGAAAGGCTCCATTCAAACCGCTGAGTTAGAAGCTTCCTCCAGAACTCTTGTGAGTTAGTGGTGTGTCAGTAGCAACAGAATTTTCATCATTGTCTTCATTAAACCTGGTCTTTGTCTGATAGGTAGAAGTGGAGAGACTCATTCTTTCACAGACCTCGTCAATGGCTTTATTAAAGCCATCCATGTCTATTAATCTGCAAACTGATTAGGCTCATCTGGGTTATTGGTGCCCAGGTGGTGGGTGAACTGATTGGCCCTTTATTTGGCCACTGCTGCTGCTCCGTGTGTTCTTCAGAAGTCGCTTCTCCACCAAGGCTGCCAGCCTGGAAGCTCCAACAGTGCCCTGGAGAGTGAATTCTCCAGGAAGGAGAGAGACAGTTTGCCTAAACCCACTTTGTCAATGATTGAGTGCTTTATAAATGTCAGATGTTATTATTGGTCTCATGGGCACAGGCTGCTCCTTACCCATTCCTGCTCTACCTTACCTTGGTCGTTAATGTAAATCTTTCCATTTTAAATGAATCTCTCAGATATACTTTATGCTTCATTTGTATGAAGAGCTTAACTGCTCCCATTACTGTTAGCAGGCTACTGAGCATCCATTATAAAAGCATTTTTTTCTCCTAAGATGTTTTCATTGACAGTATGGTTTTGTGACTTTAAACACACACACACACACACACACACACACACACACACACACACACACACACAGATAAACACGCCTTCCCAATACCCCTTTAAATGCCAGGACTCTTTAGAAAGGATATATTTACATTCAGTCTGTCTTTTGTTCCTCCCAGATGTATATGAGAATTAATTTTTTCCCCAGGGTATGTTACCTTTGCAACTGCCTCATATGTTGCTGTTTGGTTCCTGGGGGGGTTGGGGGGGAGGGGAGTAGTGCAGTAACTTCTCCACTTCTCCTGTGTGATTAATGCCATCAGCGCTGCATACTCGTGACGTTTTCCTTTGCTGGCAGCTGCTGAGTAGTAAAGATTGAGGGGCTGTGTTCATTTGCCTTCTACATCTAGTCAATACATAATCTCTCTGATACAGAATTCAGAGACAAAATGGTAAGGATGTTTAATGGACTCAAAGAAACAGTGGATCGGACATCCAGGGAGGATATGAGAGCAGAAATTAAAAAAACTACAAGCAGAATTGTCATTAATAAATCCAGTGATGGATCCCACATGGTCTTGTCATTCTACTCTGTAGTAAAAACTATCATTAAAGTAAACTTTCCAGTTCAAGTGTTTGAAGGGAGATTATAATAGTCTCCATAGTTTATATATACCGAGCATATCCAGTTTGTAGCAATCAGTATTTTAGTTGAATTAAAAAACTGTGGCCTTATTTCATTTAACTCAGCTTATGGCTTGATCTTTGACCAACTTGAATGTACACT